TGGGCTGGGGGCGGGTGCCATGGGAGGCTCAGGAGAGCTGAGGGTGACAAAGGCCAAGTGATGGGAGGGCTGGACCACGGCATTGAGGCTGAGTGGAAAAGGAAGGAAAGTTAGAAGGGAATGGAGTGGGGTCCAGAAGCGAGAGGTCTCAACAAGGTCAAAGAGCAAGTGTTCTGAGAGGAGGAGAGAAGTGAGGTGCACAGGTAGAGGGCTGTGGTCAGAGAAGGCCACGTTAGAATTTAAGATTTCTGAAGTGAAGTGTTTCCAGGAATGACAAGGTGCTGGGTGTAGCCAGGAGTGGGAGGCTGGAATAAAGGTCAGGGGTCAGACAGAGGGGGGCTGTGTCATCTACATCCACAGCAAACTTGCCCAGGACACTGGCAAGTCCTGGATGGAAAGAAGTTTCAGAGGCCTCGTGAATATGGGTCTGTGACAGGGGCTTTCTGCCCCATTCGGGCCCATTCTCCCTCTTAGGGAAGCCAAGGTAAGGTCTGAGATGCCTTCAGAGTCAGGCTGGGAGCCTGAGGCCAGAGCACAGTGAAAGAGGGGTCCTCTGCTCGAGGAGCCCTCTGGCTGTCTGCAGGGCTCCTCTGGGGAGTGATAGCCTGCGTGATAGCCCAGAATGGCAGGGAGGCCTCCCTTTCTGCAGCCATGAGTTCACCACCCTGTGCTGACAAGCGGCCCAGGAGCCTCTGGCTTACCCTGGCCTGGGAGGCCTTACCACACCCATCTTCCCCTTAAGAGGGATGCTTGCCTCACCTCTGGACAGCTTCTTGCTATAGGAACCAGTCTGTGATGTGGGAGTCGAGGCTGAAGGGCCCAGGTGCTACCAATGGTACACCCAAAACATTAGTTCCAATCTGCCACCTGGGAGGCTCTTAGACGACCAGCTCGCCAGAGCGCTGGCCTCCAGAGGGGGTGCTCTTCTCTGACTCCCCAGGCTGCCCTCTCCCTACCGCCACAGCTTGGCTGCCATGTGCCCCTGTCCCGGCCCCGGTCGGCCAAAACCAGGAGCCTGAGCAAGGGCCAGCCTGGCTCTCTCTAGGGGAGGAAAGGTAGCCACTTGGAGTGGGGTCTGAAGAGGAATCTGGGGTCCAGACCTACCCGCCTTTCATCCACCACGATGTAGTTGCGCCCATGTTTCTTGGTCAGGTGTGGTGCCAGGACGTCAAAGCGGCGGCGGAACTCGGAAAATACCATGTGGTCAGGGTAACCTAAAGAGAGGGCGGTCCAGAGTCGGTCCTTCAGCACCCCGTCTGCTCCCGGCACGCCTGATGGCCACTGGCACCCAGGTAGCAGGCAGGGACGTCACTGGAAGGGGAAGAAACTCAAGGGGGAGGAGAGGCCGTGGCTGAGGCAGGCCCAGGAAAGAGGGGTGGAGAGGGAAGAGGCAGGTGCAAGGGACAGGAGGCTGCCCTCCAGCGGGATTTCAAGGTTACAAAGGGAACAGTTTCCCTTAGAAGGAAGCAAGCTCCTTGTCAGTGAGGTGTGCAAACGGAGGATGGCAGACCACCTGGAGAAGAAAGCCGGGATGACCTCTAAGATGCTTTCTAGGCTCCGAGTCTATGACTCTGTTCGAACCCAGAAAGAACAATGTCTTCAGGGCTTAATAAGGAAACAGAAAATAGGGCAACAGAGAGTAGCTGAGAGGAAAAGTGCACAGGCTTGGGGTTGGAATCCTGACCCTGGCTCTTAGCATCATGTGACCTTGGGTGACCCACTCAACATTTCTTTCTTTTTTTTTTTTTTAGTCACAAAAAACTTTATTTAGAATGTAAAGTTTTGGGAAGTTTGTTAAAAATATCAAAAAGTTTGAAAGCACATGACTAAATAGGATTACGGATCATTATACAACTTAAGTTTTAAGTTTTAACCAAAATGGCACTAAAAGATTCTATAGAAGGTTATATAATTTTTAGCAAAACTCAGCTCCTTTAATATTAATAAGTTTTAGTTTTCTTAGGTAATTAGAGATCTGATAAAAACAAATATAGAAACCTTGTTTTCTGGGCAGATAAAGAAAAAAAAATGTTGTGATTTCTTATCAAGAGCAGATCAATAATCTAAGAAAGTCTTCTTTTTAACAGAGAGAAAAACAAAATTTTAATTTTAGACTGGTGTACTTTTTTCCATTTTAGGTTTTTATTTTAATTCTAGTTAGCTAGCATCTAGTATTATATTAGTTTCAGGTATACAATATAGTGATTCAACAATTCCATACGTCACCCAGTGCTCATCACCTGTTTCATCCACCCTCCCTAGCCCTCTCTCCTCTGGTCAATTATCAGTTTGTTCTCTCTAGTTAAGAGTCTGTTTCTTGATTTCTCTCTCTCTCTCTCTCTC